TTGTTTCCTTGGACCTGTATGTGATGGAGGGAAATTCATTCATTATGTACACATTGGGGTGGGTGGTCACAGTCCTTGCTCTTGTGGCCCTTACTTTCTAGCAAGAATATCGAGAACACATTGATGTAAATGAGAAGCCTGTTTGTATGTAGTCTGTGAGATGTGAGCCTGCCCTGGAGGAAGACGACTCGGGAGGGAAGAGAGGCTGTTTCTGGTAGAAAGACCGAGGGGAGGCACCGACTTTCAGTGACGGAGCCCTTGTGACTGAAACAGAATAAGCCAGCCGAAGAAGAATAGGAGCTCACAGAGGTGGCGGGGCAGGTGTGGGACATCGTCCAGGGTTATTCCGGGACCTGCGGTTTTGCTGGCCACGGGCTCAGCTGTCCGTATGGTGGCCATTCGTCACATGCAGTCAGTGACTGTATGAGTAGTGTCCGCGCCAACTGCCACCAACTTGATTCTAATTCATAGTGACCCTGTAAGTCAGCGGTTCTCAACCTGTGGGTCGTGACCCTTTTGGGGATTGAACAACCCTTTCACAGGGGTCACCTGATGCATAACAGTAGCAAAATGACAGTTATGAAGTAGTAACAAAAATCATTTTATGGTTGGGGGGTCTCCACAACATGAGGAACTGTATTAAAGGGTAGCAGCACGAGGAAGGTTGAGAACCGCTGCTACAGGACGAGGTAGAAGTGCCCCTGGGGGCTTCTGAGACTAGCTGTACAGGAACAGAAAGCCTCAATTTCCTCCTGCAGAGAAGGTGGTGGTTTTGAACTGCAGTCCAGCACAGAGCTCAGGAAGCTGCTACGGCTCCGTGAGCAGTGTAGGAACTACCGTTTTAGTGAGGTTGCTTGTTTACCAGCCTCCTGTGTGAGCGACGAGCACAGTACGGAGTAGACAACAAGGCATTGTCATGACGGCCTGACCAGGGCAGTGGGAGCCATGAGAAGATTTGAACAGAGGACTAACTTACTCGTGTTTGTTTTCTCTATCTGTGTGACATTCTACTCTTGATTTCAGAACAAGATGATAGATTCAACTAACAATTTTTTTTCCCCTCTGTTTCTGAACCTCTTTAGCGTCTTGGAGTACAATTTGATGAATACTCAGGAGAATCGTTTTATCGAGAAAAATCTCAAGAAGTCTTAAAATTGCTGGGCAGTAAAGGACTTCTACAGAAAACTGTGTATGGTCAAGTTAATATTCTTTAGTAAAGTTTTTTGTTCTTTGAAGTGGTATTAACGTCCTCCTTCAGTAAGCCATACCTCGCTTTTCAGACTGACTCTTGCTGTTCACGGTACTTTTGCACATGTCTCTTTTGCTGCCATGGCAAAATGCAGCAGTCTGAGAGAATGGGTGCTGTCTGTTCTGTACATGTAGAAGGAACCGAAGCCCAGAGAATGGAAGTGATCTGCCTGAGGTCCTGCAGCCTGGCAAGTGCAACGGGAACTCACATCAGCTGACTCCACCTGGCCTTTTTAAAGCATCTCATCCTTTTCCAAAATAATTGAAAGCAGCTTATGAATGTAGATCGAATACCAGGCTTTTGAGAACTGTAAAATGAGGAAATGAGGAAGAAGGGATGGGAACAAAAGTCCATGGGTTTATATCTCAAGGATACTTCCTGGCATGTTAAAGCTTAACTATAAATGTTCTCGTACCTTCAATTAGAAGATTCTGTGACGTTTAATGATTATCTTTCTTTTTACCTTACCTGAAGTTGTAATCTCAGTCTACAGCTGGGACTATTAAAGTTTTTATCTAAGGACTTAGCCAGAACTATAGATTAAGTAGATGCTACGATAACCAAATATTACATTATATGATAATAAATCCATAGTCATAGCCTTTGTTATTTTTCTTTAGTGTTGATTATCATTGCCACTTGGGGAATAAAAGTCGCTTTTATGGTTTGCTATGTGGTACTATCCTTTCCAAAGTTTTTTCTGTTGCTTCAGAGTGACTCTTCTTGCGTTTGTAGAAAAGGAACAGCTGTAGTGGATCTCTCTGGGAAGGGGGACCCCTCGTCCGTCTGCACCGTAATGCGAAGTGATGGGACTTCTCTTTACGCCACCAGGTTTGTGTCTTCTCTGAGAGGAAATGGTTTTGTGGCTTCATGCTGTTCTAAGATTAATTTTAAGCCAGTATTTTGTCCTCAAAACTGTTGCCAAGGTCTAGTTGCAGCTTTTCAAACCTCTTGCGCTCACCATTAAAAGAATATTGGGTTTGTTTATTGTTAGCTATAGTTCCTGCAAAGGTTTAATATCAGCAGAAATGTGACCCCCAAAACTTCCCAGTTAAACAGCATAGGATGACCTCAGTTGAATATGACATTCTACACACTATAAAAGTGATGTAACTTCATATCCAACCACAAGTATTTTACAATTACACATTGGCAGGAGATACCGATGATGTATATGAAGAGGTGGCCATGCTGGCTCTGTAGTCTCCTCATGTAATCACAGACCATTGTACATGTGCATGCGCATAGCAGAACTCATTGGGACTGTGGGTAAACAGGCCAAGGGAGAAGTGGGCATGTCTCCTACTCTTTGCATCCATCACCATGGCGAGTCTTGTGGAAAAGAGAAGTCTGTTCTCGGTAAGCACTGGGTTTATAAATGACTCCTATTTCTAGGACAAAGCTAATAGGAAGGAGAGATAGGTCAATAAAAAAACAAACGCAGCCACACCCAAGTACTTGCTGACAAAGTTTCTGGTGGCCTCCAGACCATATTAAGTCACAAGCCACTTTTGTAACATAGTCAAAACCATATTTTATTGTTGCCATTTTACTGCTGTCATTTGCTCCAGTTTTAAACTATATATGGCTTAGCACTGACTCAAGGACAGTGGATTTATTTTGAGTTTAGAAAATGTTTTTGACACTTTCTGATGTCAACTTCATGCTTTTGGGCTCAGGAAAGTAGAAAGACTTACATGTTTAGGACTTATTTCTCTTTTTTGAAATACTAAATAATATAGAGAGGCTGTGTGTGCGCGCGTGCACGTGTATGCCAGCTAACTGTTGGGCAGATGAAAGAAAGAATCGCTTAAGCAGAGGCATTTCGAGGCTAATAACTCAGTAACTATCCTGATCTGTGTGCTTAGCAGCTTTCACTAGGTCTAGGTTTTTCTAGGTTTTTACCTTAATACCTATACATTCTAAAGATTTTCTTGGGTCAAAAGTTGTTTTGCCAGCTGTTTAAATGCTTGCTTTTGCAGCTTGCTTTTACTTTAGTAGCTTCTGTCATTGTAATGAATTTCTTATCGAGTCGTTGCTGTACATGGATATAAATTAAGAGTCATTACAGCGAATGAACTTTAACCAGAGCACCAAGCTCCAGGCTGGAGACCTGGGTTCTTGTTCAGGGGCCACGGCAACCACTTCCCCTCTCTGGTCCCACTGAGTGAACCGAGAAAGCCGTGGCCAGCTCATTGACTTGTAATGCGATTCTAAGTGAGTCAAAATAGGCCTGTCCCCCACAGTGTTCAGTGACCAGTCTCTGAGAAGCAGATCAGAGGTCTTTCTTCCCAGGTGTCAAGTATATGATCCTTGGCAGGTTTGGTTCCAGACCACCACAGTAAAGAAAAGTGTGATGACATGAGTCATGGGAACTTTTTGGTCTCCCAGTACATATAAAAGTTCGTTTTATACTGTAGTCTATTAAGTGTGCAATAACATTGTGGAAAAGTGTGCAATATAGTGAGAATCACCAAGATGTGACACAGACACATGAAGTAAGCACATGTGTGGAAAAGTGGTGCCAGTGGACTTAACTCAACGCAGGGCTGCCACCTTTAATTTCTAAAAAATGCGCTATCTGCAGCACACAGTAAAACGAGGTACGCCTGTAATCATTAAACAAGACCCTTTCCTCAGAGCTAGTTTAGTTACTATTACTGTCTTTCCCAGAGCTTTTATCTTTGTTTTATTATCATTACTTTTGGCCAGTTTTTGTGATAGTGACTTGGGATCCCAGTAGCGTCCCCTGGGCATAGAAGTGTGAGAGGGATGTCCAAAGCTGCGGGATCAGAAGAGCCCTAATCAGAAAAGCCTCAAACTTGCCCAAACCTGCGCGGTAACTAACTCCTGCCGTCTTGCCCTTCTTGCAGAGATCTCGCAGCTGCGATAGATCGAATGGACAAGTATAATTTTGATACCATGATTTATGTGGTAAGTAGTTAAAATAAAGATCAAAATGTGAAAGTCCTTACCGCATGAAAACGGCAAAGCTAGGAGATGGGTGCTCTGCTGAAAACTCTGGAGAAACTCGCTCTCTACTCTTGTGTCAAATTGCAGGGAAATTCCAGTGTTAAGATGGCAACTTCTAAATTATTTTTCAACTTTAAAAAAATGAAAAAATTCACATTGCTTTGTTGTAAAAAAATGATCTGAGACAGAATGGATGTATGAAAGGGATAACGCAGGTCATTGTAGTAGAGTTTTTTGTGATCGTTTTTGTTTGTTTTCATTTCGAAGTAGTTTTAGACTCACAAGAATGTCAAACTAATAGTTTCTGGATCCCTTAATCAAGCTGGTATATTGTCAGCATCAGAAATCTACATTGGTACAGTATTAATTACTTGGCAAACTTTTAGGTGTGTCACTTTTGTCACTGTGAGAATGTTGCATAACAGGGATGTCACCTCTTGAAATAGGCTTTTCTCACTCAGCACCACGAATGCCCTTGAGGGCCGGCTTGGGGGGGGGGGGGCGGGCAGCAGTGGTCCCTCCCTCTAGTGCTGAGCCTCCTCTGTCTCTTCTCCCGTCCTTCCTCTCCTGGAGCGGCTTCCTCTTCCACCCAGAAAACAGCCTTCCCTCGTGCAGTTTTTAGAGCTTGGCTGCAGCCACCATGAAGATAAGGTCTAGCAGCTGAGTAAAGGAATGAAAATAGAACACCCGAAGTCCCCCTTCTTCTGGCCTTCTTGTGCAGCACTCACTTCAGACCAGCAGTTCTCAACCTGTCCGTCACGACCCCTTAGGGGGTCCAACGACCCTTTCACAGAGGTCACTTGATTCACAACAGTAGCAAAATTACAATTATGAATTAGCAACAAAAATAATGTTATGTTTTGGGGGGTCACCACCACATGAGGAACTGTATTAAACAGTCACAGCATTAGGGAGGTTGAGACCCGCTGCTGTAGACATTCTCCTCATAACATGCTTGACATGTTTATTTTAAAAATGAGATGTTGTAAGTATGTTTTAGAAAACATAAGCCATATCGACAGTGACTTTAGTCTGTTAAAATTCAAATATGTTCCTTTGAGTCACGTCCAACCTAGTTTTGTAGATTAATTTATCACAGTCCCACTTGCAAAATTCATTTTCTTCCCAAGACAGATAAAGGACAAAAGAAGCATTTTCAGCAGGTGTTCCAGATGCTGAAGCTCCTGGGATATGATTGGGCAGAAAGGTAATACCTGCACGCCTCTGAACTGCCTGCTCAAGTTGATTAGTGCTTTGCTTGGTCAGCCAAGCCCACAGAGGGCCCCAGTTTTTAAAGATTTTTAATTTATGGTAAACATCAGTTCTTTATCTCAAGATCTTAGTATGGAAAAGGAGATTTTGAGACTTGAATTTTTTTTACATTAATTTATGTCCTGGTTATAGTCATTTCTAGCTTATAAATCTTTTAAATGATGTGTTTTTTAGTAGGCACCTCTCAGGGGCTTAATTTTCAAAACCCTTCATCTCTGTCTCCTTTTTGTTTTCCATAAAGGCAACTAGCCAGTGCTCATTTTAATCAAATGAAGGTGAACTTACGATCTTTTGCGACATGCAGCAAATCCCATTGCATTTCGTTGTATTACTTTTTATAAACCCCTCTGAACGTGAAAGTTCAAATTGCTCTCTGGACAGGTCTTGCTATGTACTTACTTTGTTTTCAGCTAACCAAACCACTCCCATTTCAGGTGCCAGCATGTGCCCTTTGGAGTAGTGCAGGGAATGAAGACTCGGAGAGGAGATGTTACTTTTCTGGAAGACGTGCTAAATGAGATTCGATTACGGATGCTTCAGAACATGGCTGCCATTAAGAGTGAATTCGCGCTTTCTTGTCATCAAGCCTTATATACAGCTTTTATGTTTTGGTGGACTTTTATGTAATGTGAATCATTAGATATATACCTATATTATTATTATTATTATTATTATTAACTATCCCTCCAGTAGGGATCCCTGGTGGCATAGTGGTTACGAGTGGGGCTGCTAACCTCAAGGTCAGCAGTTTGAAACCACCAGTCGTTCCACAGGAGAAAGATGAGGCTTTCTACTCCTGTAAAGAGTTAAACAGTCTCAGAAATCCACAGTGACAGTTCTACCCTGCACTATAGGTTCACAAAGTCAGAACTGACTCAATGGCAATGAGTTCTGATCCCTCCATTGAACTTTCACTGATCTTGTTGAAAGTGGCTTTCGCTCATTCTCAGTACCAGAATGTTTAGACTTGCTGCTTAGGGCTCATTTATTCCCATAATCTGAATTGCTGTCACCCTGGCCCTGCTTGTATTAACATCCTCAGCAGCAGCATTCCATTGTCCAAGTGGTCGTGCAGAGTTCATATCTATATTTATATATAATTGGATACAAGTCACAGGTCTTTATGACTTAGAAAAATAAGGATCAGCTATATCCAGAGTGTCCCACAAGACAGGAAAAAGACACTGAACTATCAGAGCCTATAAGGAGCCATGAGGAATCCTGGTAGTGTCGCTAGTGAAACGCTGGGCTGCTAACCACAGGTCAGCCAGTTAGAAATCGCCCACTCCAGAAGATCAGGGCTTCTAGTCCCCCAAGAGCTACCATCACAGAAACCCACAGGGTGGTTCTGCCTGTCCTAGAGTCACTGTGATCAGAATTGACTCAATGGTAGTGAGTTTTGTTGTATTAAAAAAGGAGCCATGGTCATGGTGATTGGGCTGCTAATCAAAAGACTGGCAGTTCAAACCCACTAGCCTCTCCATAGGGATGAAGCTATCTGCTCCTATAAAATAGCCTCAGAAAACCTAGATAGGTTACTACGAGTTAGAATCAACTCTGGCATTAGGTTTGGGGTATTCCTGCTTGCCTCGGGTCAGAATCTATTAGATGGCAATGATTTTGGCCTGGGGGCTTTGTATTCCTCCCTTTGAACATATCCCATGGACTTATTTTGGGAAGAGGGATTATACTTCCTCTCTCCCTCCCATACCTTTTCAGCCTGAGTATCTACACACCACGCATCTGCTTGTAGATCACAGGTGCTGTCGGATAGTGCAGAAAACATATTTCCCTCGGCTTCCTTTCACGCTTGCCCTCCTCCCAGTGTCTCCCCTAAAGGGGAAATTGTATTATCCAAGGTAAATTCGTCTAAATTTAGGAAATACATGGCCTAAGTATGTCAGCATGTATTTTTAGGCAAATTTGATGTCCCGTTCCGTCATGATTCTGGTAAAGCTAGCCACCTGTGTCTCTTTCAGCAACGAAAGGACTGGCGAACCCGGCAGAGACTGCAGAGAGGGTGGGACTGGCAGCACTCATCGTTCAGGTCTGTTCAGACTCCTGAGCCCCTTTGGTTTGGCACTAGGACGAAGCCTCGAGCTGACCATTTTCTCCTGGTCATTTCAGGACTTCAAAGGCTTGCTCTTATCCGACTATCAGTTCAACTGGGACCGTGTTTTCCAGAGTCGAGGGGACACAGGAGTCTTCCTCCAGTACACACACGCCCGTCTGCACAGGTGTGAAGAGGCTGCGGGGAGCTTCCAGGCCTCCGCTCGGCCTCCCTCGGGGTGGGGTGGGGGTGGGTGGTCCTGGCTGTTGAAATTCCAAGATCAAGAGTTCTAGTTTCTGTGCTTCTCCAGCATCGCATATTTAAAACTGGGGACCTCCTTGGTGTTGTTGTTGTTGATTGTTCTTTATTGAGCACCTAGGGAAGACAACCTTGTATGGATGTTAGCTTATTTAATTCAGAATAACCCTGACAGGAACGAGCTGTCAGGTCTGTTTTACAGATGAGAGAATGGACTTAGGGAAACTTGAAGCTTCCCATCAAACAATGTCAGCTTCGAAGTCGAATGCTTTCGTAGAGAGCAAGATGTCACCAATAAGTGATGACAATTACTTGCATCTGTGTGTCCGAGATGACTGGTTTAACCCTTTGCGTGTTTTCTGCTTTACTCTAAACTGTGGCGGACAGTTTGGAAGAGACATTTGGCTGTGGCTATCTGAATGACGTCAACATTGCTTGTTTACCAGAGTCCCAATCTGTATCCATTCTCCAACATCTTCTCAGGTATGAAGTTTTCCTACTGTTTCTAAGGATGCTTCTGCTTAGTCAAATGGCTGTGGGCATTTTTGCTGAACAGAAAGCGATCCGGTGCACAGTGGCGCTTAGTGCTGGACTACGAACGGAAGGTCACTGATTGAAGCAAATCCTGGCAATCTGCTTCCATAACTATTTCACCTTAGGAAGCCTTGTGGACAATTCTATTCTGTTCTGTAGGGTCACTGAGCACACGACCACCGATAGGCCAATAGATGGCTCCTGCCTTTGGACAGAGTTTTCCTAAAGGTATCACCCAGAAGTGATGTTTCCTCTGTGAAGGTAGAATGGGGCATGGACTAAGCCCCTGTTCTAGGTCAACCCTTAGGTCTTAAAAAGTGTTACCAAGCTGAGTTAGCACAAATGCTGAGCATCCTCTGGCCCTGCCATGAGATGGGGCAGCTGGGTCAAGCAGCTTAAGGCTCCTTTGGATGAAAATCATTTCTCTCCCTCTGTGATAAGGGAGAAAGAGGCTTCACCTGCTTTATGATCTCAGGTTAAGTCTCAAGACATTACCATACTGGACAAAAGCTCGCACCTCTCAGCTCCGACAAGCACAGGTGGTAAAGCCAGATGTGCAGAGATGAGTCTTTGGCAGGGATATGGGTGGTAAGGATCAGGGCAATTTTCCCTGATCACCACATAATGGTCCATGGTATTTTTCTGGGGCTAGAATGAGTTAGTTTCCCCATACATAGCCAATTTGTGAGCAAAAATGCACAAACCTGGTTGGACATTGTGGGTAGTTTGCTAATTTATGGATGGGGGGTGGTGAACTTGGCTAGAAGCCTTTTACATGCAATTTAACAACCATGACTAGGATGATTTCAGAAGTCCTTGACATCAAGGAATTTGTCAGGAAAACCGTGCCTTTGCCTTCCAATGCACACCAGGTGTTTTCCTCGTATTACCTTTTACCCTTGATGGCGTCAAGTCGCCTTTCCTGGAAGAGCTTTGATATCAGAGTGTGGTGCGGACACGCTTCCTCTGCCAACTGCCCCTGTCATGCTTCTTTCAGGTTCGATGAGGTGCTCTACAGATCTTCTCAGGACTGTCAGCCCAGGCACATTGTCAGTTACCTGCTAACTCTAAGGTACTTTAAATTGTGTTGCTGGCTTCTCACTGTTGGTGTGGAGGCTAGTGGTGCCAGATTGAGAATCATGGACAAATCCATGGTTCAGCATACTTTCTACTCCTCTTAGAAGGAATTCTTCAAAAAGAGTTTTTTTTTTCTTTTCAGATCTTGCTATTTTCAAGCACTAAATGACCTGAGACCACTTATCTGGCAGAGAGCCTTTCTTTACTCTAAAATTCTCTATAAATATAACTCTTTTTTACCTAAGAAATGATGTGCTTAAGTTAGAGATTCTTACTTCATCTTTGCAAATTAACAGTTAATGTTCACTCATTCACACATTCAGTGATACAAGTTGTGGCAACTAGAATCCAGTGAACAGAAGCTGACATTGACACAGGTGGTGACAAAAGTGTTTACGTGCTGTGGTAGAGTGCACATACAGGAGTGAGTCAAAAAGTATTGCTACAAAATCATAAAGCATTAAACAAAACCACCAACATATGAAGTTATTTGCTCAATCTTAGCTTTCATCTAGTTCTGTACACTTCTGAAGGCAGTGTTTCCACCTCTTGAACCTTCCTTGAAGAACTGAGTTCCTTCATTAAGACCACATCGAAAAAGACGGTTTGGATGTCCTGGAAGGACTCAGATCGTGGTCCTGTTAAATACCCTTTGACTTTAGAGAAGAAAAATGCGTCTGAAGAAGCAAGGTCGGGGCTGTAGGGTGGACAGGTTAACAATTTTTCATAAGAGCCATTCCTAACCTCAAAGAATGAGCAGTTGTGGGGAACACTTCCTGGGCATTTGAAACTTCCCTGGTCTTTTCCTCCTCAATGCAGTTTTCCGTTTTCTCAGAACTTCCTCCTAATAAGCCCCCGAAATCGTGTTCTTCCAGAAAGTATGTCAGGATTACCTTTGAAGCTCCAAGTAGTTGCACTGACTTTCTGAGTTGACCGCTCTGCCTTGGACTCATCTCTGCGGTATTCCTGGCCTTTCTGAAAATACTAGATCCACCTGAAAACTCCTTTTATGTGGAACTGCATTCGTGTTAACTTGTTGCAAAGCTTCGGTAGTTTGGGGAGATGTTTGTTTAAGCACCCTACAGAAACAAGGATGTACCTTATTGCTAACAAGAGAACTTGTCTAGAGCCATGGCCGATGAAGACATGCCCATCCATACTTTATTTGACATCAATCTGTGCATGTATGAACTGGAACCCTAGTAGGATGACGTTTTTTTTCTGTTGAGAATTTTCTTAGGCTTTATTGTAAATCGGGTAGGTGAAAATTTACAGAGCCGACCATAGTTCTACATTAAATAATTCATACATACTGATTCACCTCATCCATTACAATCTCCCCAATGTACCGTCATTTATTCCAGGTTCCTGCTTCCATTCCTCCTTCCTGAGCCCGCTGAATGCTGTCCTTGATTAAGCTTTCCTTTTATCTTAAATAGCTGATTCACCACTTGGAGGGTGGGTTCATTTCCAGACCTGAAGAGAGTCAGTCTTGGTCTCACCACTCTCTCTCTAAGCAATACGCTAATCTCTCTTCCTATGGTGAGTTCTGTTCCGCGTGTTTCCCTCTCTACCGGGGATCTTCTAATGTGATTCTTTTCAGAACAGTTAGTAGTGGGAGCGGCACCATTTAATTCTTCTGGTTTCAGAGTTGTGGTTGGTTTTCATGGTCTATGTGCCTTCATTTCCATCAGTAGCAATACCTTTTGACTTACTCTCTTCCCTAGGGGATCAGAGGAAGGCTCTCAGAGGGAAGGAGGAGTTAGGAATTTGGGTGGCAGGAGACAGGAAAAGCCCCAGAGTTGGGCATGAACGTGAAGCCGTAAAGGAACTGCAAACACGGTCCTGGGTGGGGGCATGTCAAGACCTTTTCACCAGGCAGCCCTCACCGTCAGGACAGTGGAGCCCCGAAGAGTTTTAAGCAGAGGGGGTAGCAAAACCAGTCAGCTGGAGGGAGAGGATGAATTGGAAGGCCAATCAATGACACTGATAGGAATTCCCTGGTACGGGCTTTGGGATATTGGAAAATGAGCCAACTTTTGCCTAACAACAGGTGTATCTTCCCGTAAATCTACTTGAGGAAATTCTTGCTGTTGAGGTCTGCTGACACTGGAGACCTTTAAATTCCACTTACCCATTTCAAGAGGTCAGAGTCTTATTAAATGTATTTGTCATTAAAACGAATGACCGTTTCTGTGGTACAATCTTCACTTTACTGCTATACCTAACGGGGAAGGGGGCAGGATGGTGTGTGTGCAAAGTGGAGTGCTGAGTCTCCTCCTCCCTCCTCACTGTAGGAGAGGGAGGAAGGCTAGGCCATGTTACACATTTAATTGTAAAGGACACCTTAAACGAGGAAAACCTAATGAGTAAAGCAATCCTGTGTATTTCTAAGACTAGCAGTGAAATTATCTGAAGAACTTGCTACCTGGTAATAATAGAACCAAGACCAAAATGTTCCTTCTAGAAGAGCAGTGGCTCCCCATCTCAGCTTTGCCACTTTGGATACATCTTTGAATGATTCTAAGCTGTGATTTATTTTATGTTGAGAGTAAGATGAGCTCTTTAGTTCTTATGTCAAAGTATGGAATTGCTGTTGGTTCTAATCCTAATTTCCCTCTTCCCTACCCAGTCATCTTGCAGCCGTGGCACATAAAACACTGCAGATCAAAGACAGTCCTCCTGAAGTGGCTGCGGTATGTTATACTGAGTGTTTCCTGCCTAATCCCTAGCACCCTCTCAGACTCAACAAGTTCTGTAGATATTTCTGAAGTTTTGTCTTGTTCAACTATAATGCACTTAGTGATTCAGTAATTAGACTTGAGCTGTAAAATCAATGTGTATGTACTCTCAGCATTCTTACATCAAATTTTGGATGCTGAGTCCCCCTTGTCTAAACCATACAGTGTGATGACAGGCCCCCACCCCTACCCCACAACTCTGTGTGGGCCAGTGTTACTGAAAGGGATGCTAGGATATACCTTCTGAGTCTGTCTCTGCACTAAATCCTACTCTGAGACACTGTTGGGATTTTTTTTTTTACGATAAGAAAAAATTTGTAAATCTTTCTTATTTTACTTCCAGCCTGTTATTGAACTAAACATTTAATCATTTTTAAATGTTTTATAGGCCAGACTTCATCTTTTCAGAGCTGTCCGTTCTGTCCTAGCCAATGGAATGAAGCTTCTTGGAATAACACCTGTATCTCGGATGTAATTTTGAATTATAATGGCTTTTAAAATGCCAACAGAATCCTAGTTATCTAGTCTCAGATGCCTTGCTGTTTAAAATAGGTTTTAAATTATTATTCTGTGTCAGAATCTGTATTTTATGAAATCAAAATAATTATCAACTTAAGTATTTTACCCTTTAAAATAAACCCGAGAACCCACATGATCAATAAAAACCAAATCAGTTGCTGTCAGTTCCATCTCATGGCAACCCTGTTTGTGCAGAGTAGAACTGCCCCATTTTTACAAGGCTAAGGTCTTTCAAAAACAGATTGCCAGTCTTCTTCTAAGGCACCATTGGTGGTTTCAAACTGCCACCCTTTGGTTAGTAGTTGCCTGCTTAAACATTTGTCTCACATGGGGACCCAGATCAGTGAGAGTCTCATCAGCATTTGTCAAGTGATATGACACAACGGCAGAAGTTGTGAGAACCTCATCTTTCCAAAACCAGCTCCTGCAAAGGATGGAGCATGAATTTCTGCAACTGACGGCCCCATACCCCAACTGCTGTCCTTCCTACAAATTCCTTTGTTAAAGGGAGTCAGAGTTGGTTTTGCAACCAAAGAACCCTAACAGATACAGTCCAGGGTACAGAAAATAAAAAATTAATGTTTGGGTTTTTCGATTTGCTTTTACATTACCTTAATGGTCATGCCTATAATACAAAAAATTGATAAAGTAGAATTCTTATAAATAAATAAAGTTTATTGCTGAATTTCCCCCATTTACATTATAGAAATCTCTTTAAAAACACTGAAATTTCACAAATTACTGACCGCCCAACAGTTTAACATACTTTATAAAAAAAGTACAAAAGTGACATTAGAAATTGTTTTGAAGAAAAGTGTATTGTCTAAGAGCAAAGAAATAAGAATCCAGACAATGAATGGCACAAATACAGCACTAAAGGAGGACTCAGTCACCACCCAGAAATCACTGTCTGAGTCACGTTACTGGTTCATTTTGAGAAAAAGTTGACACATTCAATGTGTTCTGAACTAGCCGGTCTTGTCTCTGTCTCTTTGTAAGAGAAGAGCTGGCTTAGCCTTTACTGCTGCTGGGACAAAATATGTCCGTGAGTGGAGAAGAGCGAGGGATCGTCCCCCTCCCCTGGTACCTGAACAACAGAACAGTTAGTACAGAAATGGCTTTGGCACTTCAAATCTTAAATATAGTTCCAGACCACTTGTAGCTTCACATGATTCTTTAACACCACGTTTCCATATTATTATGTACATTATATATACAATCATAACACTCCACTGTAAAACAAAACAATTTGACCCAAACCACATTAACAAGTAGCTCAGGTGGCTTGCTTCTTATACCACACACTACTTTTTTGCTGCTGTTTTCACTTATTTAAGGAACCCTCTGGGATTGGCTTAAGGCTCTAGCTTAATGCAAATGTTTTAGTCTTAACAGGAATGACTCTCGAAGACATCACACACCACTGACTCTCTCTTTTGAAGTTGCTTCTCCTTCTTGGAGGGATGTAGTGTCTTGCCGGGGTAGTCCATAAAGATAAATAGATACACACACAAGAAGGGTTCCCAGAGCAAAGGTGATTGCTAAGGGGGAAAAAAAAAAAAGCTTAATCTGTGTTTGTCTCTCTACAACAGGTAACAATGATCAATTCAACATTTAAAAAATTATTGTGGGCTTATATGATGGCAAGTTTAGAAATGTCATCATTTCTAGCAAATTTTTTTTTAAGGTAAAATCAAGGGAATGACAATCAGTGACTACACATCCCTCAGGAACAATAATATACCTGTCTGTCCTTGAACACTCTGACACAACATACCAATGTCCCTTTTTGCTGGTTTTGAAAGTGGGGGCAGGGGAAGGGGTGACTTTACAATGTTATTAGAAACCTGTGAACGTGTAGAGTCTTAAGATAGTTGAGCAGAATTCGTACTTGGGTGACCAGATTCAAACCACTGACTGTTACTGAATGGGAAATGAGGAAGTGATGCCCTGCTAGCTCTGCCTCTTTGTATCTTAATTCTGAAAACCAGGACACAGAAACTAAATCACAACTGGTTCAAACTTGACAAAAGTAATATGTAAATAAATGCTTTTATCAAAATCTTACTGCATGTTCCTGTACAAAACTCAACCATATTCTATATCAACTATGGCACAATCTCAATAGGTTTAAAAACAGTAAATAGACTAATGATATCAAGATTAAGAGCTTACCTATGGACAACATGACCAGCTTTGCTTTCAAAAAAGAGGGAGGAATTAATTTAAATCTAAATGGAGAGCTGAAAGATTGCTAAGGCATTATTCATTTTCTATACTCACAGTAAGTGGAAACATTTTACACTGAGTATTAAAAAAGGGAGCAAAGGTTTTTTCAGCATAAAAATGGATCAGAACTACAATTAAAAGCTCACAAAAATCAGAAGACATCTAATGGAGAGCCTGCAGAAACTTAAGTACTTCAGTGGTGGCTTTACACAAAACCCTTACCTGTGTGTCTAGAGCTGGTCTAAGTACTTTATTTGAGAAAGGACCCCAGGAAGTGGGTGACCATTCCCATTTTACATATAAAGAAACTAACACAGATTAGGTAGCTTACCCAATGGTACACAGCTAATAAATGGTACAGCAAAAACTTGAACTACATTATAAGACGGTTTTCTGGCATTTCCATATGCATTTATAATAGCAGTCAATTTTAATGTGAAATGTTAATATGGACCACATTGCTTTCTTTTCTTAGATATTTGACATTATTCTTTTTTCTCCTCCTTCCCCACTCCCCCCGACAGATTCTTCTTACACATTAGTTTACGGTACACTGACTTCTCAGTAAAGAAAATTGCTGTTGTATAAAAGTACCCTGTAATGTTAAGTCGACATGACTGCTTACATAATTCAGAAGTTAACGTAATACTGGACACAGGCTAGGGAAAATTACATTAGTGATGATAACAGAGTACCAGCTATGACAAATGAGACCTTGCTCATTGCTATGGAGCCGACGCTGAGTCATAGCAACCCTCGAGGGCAAGGGGAACGGGCACCATGAGACTGAGACTGACTGTCACTCTTAAGGGACCAGAAGAAGGCTCCATCCTTCTCCCGAATGTCAGCTACAGTAATAGATTTTGTATTAAAATACATGAAGCAAAGATATCTTCGTGAAAGAAACCCGATTGTATTATAATTTCAAAACCAATGTGTAGGTCTAAAAATTACATTGAGAGGTACAAACGAAGGGGAGGCAGATATTTCCTGCTATTTCCTTCAAACAGAAAGCCTGCTGAAAGTAATCATTTCCTAAATCCCCGTGTTTGTTTCTTTACGTAGCTAATCACAGTGATTTCACCCTGAATCACTCAGTTGTATTCCACCTCTCTATTATTACCTGTGGAGCAGAGGTCTTGATTGGGGCGGGGCAGAAGAGAGTGAAAAAATAAAGTTGTTTTTTGGAACTAAGGGGCCCCTGTTTCACATAGGACCAGCCCGTCAGCTTACATTCTGGGACCATTTCAACAATCTTAAGTACTGCTTCACTTGTAGGATAAATTGTTGTAACATAGCAAGAAATTTTCTATAAACACACAAAAAAATTAGCCAATGGGGAGGAAAAAAAAAAACCAGTGACCAACTACCATTTGCAGTACGAGATTAAACAAGGAAATGGGGCTCTTCCATGTTAATAATTTACAAGTCCAAACAACTCACTTATCTGTAATCCAAAGAGCAGGACAGATGCAACCGTGGAAAGAACAATGGCAGCGGCTGCAGAAAAGCCTTTCATGATGTTGTCCGTGTACTTGACCACAACTGACGTGTAGAGGCCTCCAACACTCGCAAGGACTGGTACACAGAAAGAAAGGAAATGTTAACACTAGTAAATGAAACATTCTGCAATGGTAAGACAACTTTATCCCTAGAGATGACATACTAACTTACCTAGAAAACCTTTTCCTTAAAAGCAGCCATTTGAGTTTATATTAAAATTGAGTAGTCGTTCTGCAGAGCAACATTGTATTTCAGATGTCCAAAGGGCTATGTGGTCTACTACTAAATTGCACACATTTATTGCTAGCACATTAGATATTTGTGATTATGAAGGCAAAATGCTCTGGGATAGCTGTGCCACAGAAGCAAGTCAATAAAACCAAAATTACGTTTTCAAACTGGTATTCAAAGTATCGAACAATTTCAAAATGCCGCAAAGGCTTAAAATGGGCATCTAACATTTAAAAAGGGAAGGAGGCGGGATCTACCCAGAACTTTTAATTCCCGGATACTTACAGATGACGAACCAGACATAATATGTGTAACCATAGAAAAATCCTTTTTCTTTAATTTTCTCTCCATCTGACAAGTAGACGCCAACTAATGTCACAACAATCCCTGAGAGATACATTTGAATGTTTCTCACCCAAAGGGAAGTGTCTGAACTCTTTAAAACTTTTTCAAAATACACTCCTGAAAGAAAATTAGACATGCAAAGATGAAATTAAATTAAGATATGAGAAATTAACTTTAAAGGTTTCTCATTTAGAATAACATTCATACATATAAAGTCTGTGGTTTGGGGAACAAATGTATTTTAGGCTAATTAAAGGAAAAATTATTATGCAAGCTGTGACACGACATCCTGAACAATACCAGTAAGTATTTTTGCAGATCTTATCGAATGAATAATTAAGAGGGAACTTTTTATAGGTGCCTCTAATAGAAGATTACTAAGATTATGTTTAAGAATAGTTTCTGCCTGTAATAGCAATAAGATAGATCACAAAAGCTCTGTGTACTACTTACTGCCAACTGTGGTCAGCTGGAAAACTGTTATTGGAGTGGATTATCTTAATCATATCCCTGGAACATGTGTCTAGTAGTGAGCACTCCTAACTTTGCCAAAGAAACTTCATAATTACCACTTAGAATTTTTTCAGAGGCAATAACACAACTCAAAAATTAAACAGGTCTTGCTGAGTAAAGCCACATTCCTTTATAGCAGGTTTCTAAAACCCCAATATATGTATAACTGCAAACGAGCTATGATGAACTCCCTAACTTGAGAATCAGTTTTGTGTGTGTGTACATTTTTCTAGGTGGAAGGTCCACAGCTTTTCTCAAGATACTCCAAAGGAGTTTAGGTTCTTCCCCTAAATACCATATATCGTTGCTATAAGCTTTATACTTTTAATGATGGTATGTTTAACATTAAACATTTTAACATAAATACTATGCTAATTAGAGACTTAGGAATTGTCTCTAAATCACTAATCAACCAAGTCTAATGAAAACCAAGATTGTTCTGATTGAAAGGAGCTTAAAAATGACAGCTGTTACAATGGTTATTCCTATGTTCGCTTTTGACTTTACCATCTACTATTTGGTTACTATTCATTGCCCCGCTACTCCAAGCATACAGTGTAATTAAACCACCCACCCTTTCCTTCATTGTGCAATGAAAGTCTGAACCAAACAGACCGAAGGGTGTAACATTGTGCAATGAAAGTCTGAACCAAACAGACCGAAGGGTGTAAACATGTAATTGTTCAAACTGGAGCTAAAAATCAAATGGTGTATTTTTTTGAGGGGGGGGGCTTTTTTTTTTTTGCTAGCTCTTAAGAATAAAAGTTTAACATGACACTCATTAACTAATTATATTCCTACATTTAGCTTTCACGCACTCATAAAACATCTTTACAAACAATATTTCACTCCCATTTTCAGCTGGCTTTTATAGTCAAAATTAAACTGTTTCCTAATTCTTGGAATGGCACAAGTAGAAGATAAATAATAAAGACTTAGAGCTGTAAATAATAAACTCTCCTACAGAAAGCTTTAAGGTTTTCTGTTCGGACTATTTCAAAACACACATTCATTCCCCACAAGACATGGCATTAGGACTTCCCTGCCTGTTGTAGATTCAATGGAAAGACTGCCTGTACTTGTGATCCCAGATGCCCATGCTATTTGGGTTACTGGTTTTGTGTTCTCTTCCTCTTTTGTCTGCTACTTTCAGGTGTTTAATTTTCTATGGGGCTCTCCTTCCTGCTACCTTTCCATGTTCCTGTTCATCATCTGCTGAAGCAGAAATGCTGGTCACCAGGGAAAAACATACTGAATGGCTGGCATTAACAACTTACAGCGGCAGGATCTAGCTTAAAGCCAGCACCATTTCCAGGGAAATGGAAATAAATACTTGGCCTTTCTGTAGCTAATATCCTCCATTTTCATAAGTCTTTCTGCACTTACTTCTGGGCTCTTGGCTGAACTGTGGAAGAAGTAGATTCTTAGATAACTCCAAGTATGAATAAGGCCTGAGGTCTGAACTGAGTTCAATACTGCCACATACTTATTAGAAAAACAGCTGACACAAAACTAAATGACAAAGAAAACAAAGCTTCAAAAGGAAAAAAAATGTTAGCTATGATAAAACAAGGTAAGCTAGATCCCAGTTTAAAGGTGATGTATTCCAAAAAATTGGACAGAATACAATGGTGGCTTTATGATTTACCTGCAAATCCAGAGCACAATACAGCAATTGCTATGGCGCCAAACCCTAACAATGGGTTCTGTTCCACCTGTAACATTAATTTTGTAAAAGTTATTTTAGTAACTAACAAGTGGAATTCATCCAAGAGACCAAGCAAATGAAAAAAGTCTGCATCACATATCCACCTGGGAGTAAACTGGAGAAGTGAAGCAGGCAGTGCAGGGGCAGGGAGCTGATGTTTCTGCCATCAGTGTTACGAACTGCAGGTGGAACCTGGGCAACTGCTGCCTGTTTCCCTGTGTCTACTTCCAGCAACAGAAAAATGGTTTTCCTAATCTGTCCTAGTTCTACTGAAAGTGTGACCTCTATGAGATATGGTTATTCTATAGAATAAGGCAGCATCAAGCAAACCAAAAAGATCACAGAAATAACCAAAACACAGGACTGAAGAGGGTTCCTCAAATCACAGCCATAAGAAGTATATCATTTAAGCCTTCTCTTCACGTGTACTTCCTATTCCCTAATACTAATAAGCCCCTAACACAGAGTTTTGCATAACCAGCCTGCTTCGCAATTTTAGTTACTGCCTTCACTCTTACTTAGCCCTTATAGCATCATTCTTGGAAACAGTGATATTTTAACTTGTTTTATTAAGTTGCTACTTTGATGCAATTTTTGCACAAAGATCCTCAAAGTTTCACTATCATCAAAAGGCAGAATACTGGCTTTAAGTCTCTCTTTTGGTTGTATTTTTAACCAAATAATTACAGAATACCTGCGAAGTGCCAGAGATGCAGAATGAATGGAGACGAGGACAAAACACTGGGAAGCTCGTAACTAGTTCACATGAGGGGCTGACAGGTATGCATAATACTGCAATAAAAGTGCGAACAGAACCTTGGGTTCTGTCTTCATCTCCTCGCTCCTTAACTAATACTCATGGGTTTTCTTTGGTTTTTCCTGAGAGATGCATACTATCGATGGATAGTATCACTGACACTCATGAGATTTGTGACTGTAATGTGACCAGGAAGGCACATTTTGTTCAAAATAAGTTAAGTTTGCTGTAAAGAGAAGACTTCTTTATGCTTATACCTATGGGAGAAATCTTGTCCTGAAATGTTTACATGAAGATAAAAGGCGAAATAAAAGTATATTATAAGTGTGGTCCCTGGGCCAGCAGCAGCAGCACTTTAAACTTGACAGAAATAAAAATTATCAGGTCCTACCCCAGGATCTCAAAACAAAAAAAACAAACCCTCACTGCTACAGAGTCAATGCTGACTCACAACCATCATATAAGACACGGTAGAACTGCCCTTGTGAGCTTCCAATACTGTAACTCAGAAGAAGAAAGTGGCTGGTGGTTTCAAACCACAGACCTTGAGGATCACAGCCCAATGCATAAGCACTATGCCACCACAGGGATCCAGGCTACTGAATCATAAACTCTGGGGATGGGGTTCAGCAATCTGTTTCAACTACCTTTCCAGTTGGTTCTGAGGTACACTGACATTTGAGAATCACAGTTGAGCAGTGAAAAACTCATGGGCTTGGATGGTCCCTAATACAAGTGACAAGACTGGTATACATCTCAGAAAAGAGAATGGTGAGAGGTTTAACCTCTCCTCGCATTTGCTGGGAAGAAATTCAAGCTGATAAAAACAGTCTGATAAATTCTTGCCTTGTTTCCTTATCAGTTTAATGTCTATACAAGTAGGAAAAACTGATAGAAACTGCTCCATTGGATCTGACACTGTTGGGTGACGATGTGGAAGTGATGACACCTTGGAAGAAGGCAACCGTGTCATCGTAGACTGAGTAACAGCCAGGCACGGCACAGAGACAGTACTCCAGTCTGGAATAAATCAAAATACAAATGCTGAAAACGTCACGCTACAATTCCCGGCTAGTGGGAAGATGGTTCAAGAGGAAAAAGAGGTTCTGAAGAATGAGATGATGGTGCACAGTAAAAAGGGAAGAAAAGTCACATGACAAACCGAGGGCATCATCAGTGAATTCTGATTTTCCAGGGACGCACAAAAGAAGAGTTGAAGCGCACATTACCTAGAGGACGTGAGCCAAGAATCTCAGACGAGTTGTGAAGAAACGGAAAACTCAAACTAAGCAGACATTGCAAAGGTACTTAACAGCACTAAAGAAGGCTGTTAAAGCACTTTCAGTTCAGTGAGAATAGAACGTCTCTTCAGCTAGATAATGTACTGTTAGATAACAGACAAAAGAGGATTATCCAATTCTAACTTCTCAGTGAAGACTAATTTTTCTTTGAAAAGGAGGTGTAACAAAGCACACTTAAAAGACAAATGATGTCCAAGACATCTAATTTGTGACTGAGTATCTAGTTGAGTATTTTTTTTTACCATGAAAAATAACAAACCAGGACATAAAAAATGGAAAACATGCCAGAAAACTTGAATTAGGCAAATGCTGTCATTTCAAAGTGGCAGAAGGAAAAAGGGTAACCTGTGGAAATGACAGTGCTGTGTGAGTCAAGTACGCTGGGAGGCCAGCGCAATGATCAAGAAAACAGGCTACGGGGCCAGGCTAAAGTGATATATGCCTTGGTAAGTTACTAACCCTCTTTGCCCATCAATTTTCTCATCCAAAAAATGGAGATTAAAAGCACTACTACCCTAAGATTAATGACTATTTTGATCACAAGGCCTACAGATGAATCCCAATCAAGAGGGAGAAAAATGTAGAACAAGATTTCAAATTCTTGTGGAATTCAGACTTTCTGAAGTTATAGAGGCTGGATTAACCCAGAGATGACTATCCTGAGATAATCTTTAAACCTTAAACTTAAACCAAAAACATGCCCTGAAGTCTTCTTTAAACTTAACAATACTCCCACTGCCATCGGGATGATGTAGACTCATGGTGACCCTAGAGGACAAAGCAGAGCATCCCCCTTGGGTTTCTGAGGCTATGCATCTTTATGGACGCAGACAGCATCATCTCTCTCCTGCCGAGCAGCTGGAGGAGTCTGTTGGCCTTGTGGTTAGCAGCTCAACATGTAACCCATACCACCACCACCGCTCCTTAAAATACTATTGCCATCATCGACTTCAACTTACAGCGACTCTACATAAGGTTTCAAAGGGTTATATAGAGGAGGAGACAGCTTCCTCATCTCCCCCATCAACACCCACCCTCCATCCTCCGTCGGAGAATGGCTGGTAGGTTTAAACCACCAACCTTGCAGTTAGTAACCAAACACATAACTGTGTCACTAGGGCTGGATAACGGAACAAGTAAAGGGAAAAAAAAACCTCACTGCCATCAAGTCAATGCTGCCTCCTAACAGCCCCTGTGGGTTTCTAAGACTGACTCTTTACCAGACTGGAAAGCCCAGTTTGTCTTTTTTTGGAGCTGCCGGTGTTCTCAAACTGCCTACTGTGTGACTTGCAGCCCAATGAGTAAAACCTAGCAATCGTTTAGCTTAATTAGTAAAGAACATCTGCCTCGAGCATTATGCTCTTTCAAAGAACTCTAAAGGGAATCAAATTCACAATAGCAACTCAAATGGTTAGAAGAAACTTGGGGCAGGGGTGGGGAGGCAGGGCGTGAAGAATAATTCAGAAGAGGATGAGAATGCTTGCATAACCTGAAGAATACAATCAATGTCACTGAATTGTACATGTAGAAATGGCGGAGTTGGAATATGGTTTGTTGAGCATGTTTTCAACAACAAATATGTAATTTTAAAAAACTCGGGTTTCATATGATCATCTGACTATTGCAGGTGTGAGTTGTTAACGTGATAGTTTTAGAACAGCCTGGGCAGTGAGTGCCGTGGATGTGTGCCAGCTGTTGGTCTATTGTGATTCTAGCAAAATGGTAGAACAGACAGTATAAAGAACTTAAAAAACTTAACAGAAAACAGCATCATCTCCCTAAGAGTAAAACATGCCAAATTCTTTACTGAAAGGATTCCTCCTATAGGTGATGTTTGGCAAGAACTATGACAGATTTGTAGAATATCTTTGTGGCCGAGGCAGAGCAGTATATTAAGAATAACAGCTGAATGAAGGATCATACTGAAGAGTGGTAGTTAGTAAAAACAAAATCATGTTAGACAGGCAGATCCGATCGCCTGTCAAGCCTTCAGTTCACCTCAGCCCTAGCTGTTATCTTGCCTGAAATTTTATAAGTGACCCTATACACCAGAAGCACTCAGTTAAGACTCATGCAAATTCCTGACCCATAAAAATCATGCAAGGAAAAAAAAAAGCTAAAGGGTGGTTTAGAGGTATAACCACAGAACTCTGGTCCTGTACTGTACAAAAATTTCCATGGAGTCAAATCTACAGAAAGAATAAGTGGATGAAGGGAGACGTCGGACAGGGCAAGATATGACAAAATACCCATTTATAAACTATCAAGGGCTCATGCGGGAGGGGGGAGCGGGGAGGGAGGGGAAAAATGAGGACCTAATGTCGGGGGTTTCAACGGAGAGAAAATGTTTTGAGAAACGATGTACAACCGCGCTTTACACAATTGATGTGTGTATGGATTGGGATAACAGTTGTATGAGCCCCTAATAAAATGTTAAAAAAGAAAAAAAAAAAAAGATAATACCCATGCACTTACAAAAAATAAAAAAAGAATAATAAGAGACACACACCCAAAAAATCCAGTATTTTAATTTAGAAAAAGCTCATGCTGAGACACATCTGATCTGAAACAAATGTATTAAAATCAAAACAGCTACATGTCAAGTATATTTAGGCAGTCCCCAGGTTACAAACATTCAACTTACGCTTATAAGAAGCAACCCTGAAATGCCTATTATATTAAAAATTCAAGATACACATAATGGTTCTTATGAACAAATAGGCCCTACTGTGCCATAAAACAAAGCATTATTATTATATTACGTTAAAGATACTTTAGTGTATCTGGAAGTGTTTTTAATGTTCATTATGCATAGAAATAAACTTTATATATACTATGACACTAGACACGAATCATACCTAACTGTTCTGACTCATGCATAAATTTGATATAAAAATAGACTTAGAAACAGAACTTGTTTGTAATATAGGGACTGCCAGTAGTCAATTTTAGAATGGTTATTCCCCAACCCACTACAAAAGAACCCTAAATGCTGGTTTAACAAGACTAGTATTCAGAATAAAGGAGGTAATTAGTAAGCTACGCCTCTCACTACTCAAGCAACACCTGGAGAAAGTGTGAAGTTCTAAAGTTTTCTGAGGAATACCGGAGGAGTGCATCTAGAAGAGAAAAATAAGGGAAAGGAAAAGTTTGGGGCAGGAAGTGGGGATTTGAAGTCTCTTACATAGAAACCCTATGTGTAAATTAGGGTTGTTTAAATGAAGGAAGATGACTTACGAAATCATCAAATGACGCTAGTAGAGCTCTGAGTGACTGACATGAACAAAGAGCAATGACAGACAGGTATAGGAAGCTACATTCTATTTAAAATATGAAAGAACGTGTTAGAATGATCCAAAGATCTGATGAACTTTTAGCTTACTAACTTTTCACATACATTACCTACCTATGTGAGGTGGAACCTTACATCTTTTCAAATGTGTCACATAAAACTCAAATGTAAAGTGTTAGCCTTACTTCCTAGTTTGTATGTGGATCAATGTTTTGAAATATCATCCAAAATATGCACATCTGAAGACAGTAAATATTAACTACAACTCACTGGGGGAAGAAAGGGGGGGACACACCACTGCTCCACCAACAACGCTAGAAAGTAACTACCTAAAGAGTAATTGACTTCCTACTTTCATCAGTTCTCTGCAAATTCCAAGCTGCCTCGTGCTCCTTAGAGCCAAGCTCCTTTATTTGCTACAAAAAAATCAGTCTGACTGTAGGAAGAAGCCCTGGATCTTCTGAAAGTCACTCCCCTAGACTTTCAGTTCCTACTTGTCTTTAGGGAAATAACTGACTGAAGCATATAAAATAAAAAATCAGATACATACCTAAACATTCAACTCTTAACAAACTGATGGTTCTTCTCAGTAAAGGGCATTTTTGTCCTATTCTGTTTATCAATTATCAGAAGGAAAGCCTACTCCCTCCGGTCCCCTATAATGCTCGTTAGGACAATATGAGCATGTGCAAAATGATAAACAACTGTGTGAGTTGAGAGAATATGCGAACTTGCTAAAGAAAACTGTACCTTGCCCAGTGTTTCTGCGCTATGAGACCTGGAAATTCTGTGTGGACGTTGGCTAAGTTTTACTCATAGGTTAAGTAGTAATTGTGTCGCCCTGGACAAGTTACTTTGCCTCTTTGCACTTCAATTTTGAAGGGGTTGGATTACATAAACCCAAACCACACTCACTGCTATTGAGTCCTTTTTCACTCTTCTTTTTTAAGACTAAACAGTATTTTTATTTAAGTTCTAGTGTTTTCAATATTATTTTTATTGTTTTTCTTATTTTAATAAATTATTTTATTGAGGCTCTTACAACTCTTATAACAATCCATGCATCCAATGTATCAGGCACATTTGTACATATGTTGCCATTAACCTTTCCAAAATGTTTTTTCAACTTGAGCCTTTGGTATCAGCTCCTCTTTTTCTTCCTCCCACCCCCACCCTCCCACCCACTCTTACATTATATTCAAGGTACTTTATGTCCCTAACATTTTATACATATTTCCTTTTCAGAAACAGAAACATATAACCAAGCGAAACCAAACTCAGAGCCATGGAATTGATTCTGACTCATAGCAACCATATATCCGAGGGTATCAGAGGCTGTGAATCTTTATGGGTAGGCAGCTTCATCTTTCTCCCTGAATGACTGGTGGGTTTCCATTGTCCACCTTGCAGTTAGCAGTCCAACACTTAACAGACAACAGAAAGCTAGTGTTACTGTCCTTAATAACTAGCAACATTATGCTAAGAAAGCTTAAAAAATCGTGTCTACTATTTTAAGTGAAAGAAATATAATCATACTGCATCAGTGTTAACTACTGGAAGTGTATTAGACCTAAAGAAGTTCCCTATTTTACTTAGGATGTACATTTTGCTTCTTACCACAACTTTTGTAGCTTGGGCTGGTTTCCACTGTACGAGTGTGACTCCTCCACACAGCATAAACACTGAAACCCACTGTAATTTGCTGAGTGTCCGGTTTAACATTAAAACAGTACATAAAGCAGTACAAGGAATCTTCAACTGATAGGTCACCTGGAAGCAAAATAATGAATTCAGCTACTCTTTGTCACATATATATTATTTCTG